CCCCAAAAATCTACCATTCGGGAAGCCTTGGCCTTCTTATTGTGCATGTCATAGCAGTTTTGTACCATGCACCACCTATACTTGCGCTATTCAGATTACAAAAAAGTACCTCGTTTAACGCAAATGCATTGGAGACCGTGCTTCTTTCCTGTTCGATAACGTGCACGTTTTCACCATATCCTGGGCGCTGTGCTTCAGGTGTGACTGTTAGTGAACACGAATCGGCAACACTCTGAGCCGCTGCTTCCAAATCACAGTCGTAACTCTGAAGAGATATGCATATTTTACTTGAACTCCTTTTTGTAGTCAAAGAAGCAACCATCTGCATCATATTCTTTGCTCTTCTTAAATAATAGTCGTTGAGTCCATTTTTTACCTCTCCATTGGCTGTTTCAGTCCTTAAAATAAAAGTGGTACAACGAGAAAAAGAGCTAATTCTGATTGTAAAAGCATAATTACAACTGGCAGGATATTTTACAATTATTTGCTTCCAAAATTATGCAAGCACTAACCTTCTCAGGTTGTGCACGTCTACCATCAAAATTCTAGAACCGTCATCAAGTACGTTGTTCAGAGGGCACATATTATCTGCAAGTGTGGCTACTCATTAATATGAGAAACTACAAATTTGTTCTCTGAACTAACATTCTTCTAATAGATATATTTCTAGCGTAAACCTACTAGTTCCTTGACGTTTCTGCCTAACCACCGTATCGTTTAGGAAATCACCATCGGGCATTTGGTGTGTGAGCATGCACCAACTAAGCTGAAAACATCATCATGTGCTTAGGTTCTTCAACTTGGCCAACATCCTACTCAATTTTTGGTTGTCTAATATTCCAAGGGTCTTCGCAGGCGATACAACTCCATATAGGGTATACCATTGTAACACCTCAAATATTCTGCATCTACATAAGAGAAGAAGAGAGAGAAGTGCAAATGATATTTTTCAAACGCTAAATGCAAGCAAATCATAGCTAGGGTAAAGAAAAGCTCTAAATCCAAGGTAGGGACGCCTTGTTTAGTAGGAAAATAAGTTTCAAAATGCTCGATAGACGTCTCACCGAATTGCACGCTGAGCGCAAGATAAAAACCACTCAGGCCGTGATCTGTACAATTAAAAAATAGTTGCCTAATAGCGGAAAAGTCGCCTATGCCATTACCTTGTCCGATCTTGGTCGCCATAACATGACTCCTGCATAAGCCACCAAACTGGATAACTTAGACTGAGAAAAAACTTTATGAACAAACAATTAGATATTAATGGAAACCATTGTATGTTCACTTTTCTATTTTATGAAATCAGTGGTACAGCTCCGAATCGGATCAAACCATACATTTGAATATGGCACGACTGAATCATGTGTGCGCCAGAAAAGTGCATATGAACATAAAGAATTACAAGAGAGAATGAATTTACGTTTCTACTTTTGAACTAGAAGGTTGAAACCTGAACTCAGCTAGGTAGCAGACCTTGTGCATGATACCAAAA